GGTTCAGAAGCCTGCATCTCTGATGGTATGGGGTTGCATGAGTGCGTGTGGCATGGGCAGCTTACACATCTGGAAAGGCACCATCAATGCTGAATGGTATGTCCAAGTTCTAGAACAACATATGCTCCCATCCAGACGTCGTCTCTTTCAGGGAAGACCTTGCATCTTCCAACAGGACAATGCCAGACCACATACTGCATCAATTACAACATCATGGCTGCGTAGAAGAAGGATCCGGGTACTGAAATGGCCAGCCTGCAGTCCAGATCTGTCACCCATAGAAAACATTTGGCGCATTATAAAGAGGAAGATGCGACAAAGAAGACCTAAGACAGTTGAGCAACTGGAAGCCTGTATTAGACAAGAATGGGACAACATTCCTATTCTTAAACTTGAGCAACTTGTCTCCTCAGTCCCCAGATGTTTGCAGACTGTGATAAAAAGAAGAGGGCATTCCACACAGTGGTGAACATGGCCTTGTCCCAACTTTTTTGAGATGTGTTGATGCCATGAAATTTAAAATCACCTTATTTTTCCCTTAAAATGATGCATTTACTCAGTTTGAACATTTCATGTGTCATCTATGTTGTATTCTGAATAAAATATTGAAATTTGAAACTTCCACATCACTGCATTCTGTTTTTATTCACATTTTGTACAGTGTCCCAACTTTTTTGGAATCGGGTTTGTACCTTTTGTATGCAACCATCTGTTATTAATATCACAATGGGCAATCTAAATGTTTAATTTAATCAGGGTGCAGGCTCTCGCTTTAAACTGGACACCGTCTGTGGCTTCATCCCATCTTCTCTGCTGGACACATACTGTACATGCACTGCTGTAGAGGAGCTGCTAGTCTCAACCTCCAAGGCCACGAGAATTCAATTCATTGTCATTTACATAGTTCATTTGATTCTGCTGTTCACATGAGACTCCACCGTTAACCAGGTCAATTTTGTGTTTGTTTTCTCCTCAGTCACAACAGTGAGCAGAACAAGCAGCATGTGGGTTTAGTGGGTCATCAGGGACCGGATGAGTCGACTGGGGGGCAGTGAAGTGTGCAAGTGTGGATTCTGCTTGTTCAACAGGTGTTTAATTGTTCTTTTCCTTAAAGTTACTGTTGGATTCTCTTGCACATATGAAGCATTGACATCTCTGCAAAATACGACCTTGTGTCTGTGCGAGACAGGGGAGTAGTGGTGCTCACAGACACACACAGCAGAACAGAGAATCAGAGCTCACAGTCAGCTTTGATTTTGCCATAATCACATTCCCAAACCGCTGAAATGTCTTCTCCGCCGCTTAATGGCCAGCTGAACCATCATGAGGTTAACGTCATGTTAACGAGTGCATAATATCAGATAACTTTTATGAGAACAAGTACTAGAGGTTGGCTTCAGGCCTCATACCCAATACTGGTATCGGTGCATCCCTAACTGATACAGTGGATTAAAATAAAATTAGGGCATTATTGGACATTTTCAATAATGGGCCATTCTGTGTGAGAGGTTTTGATTCAATCCTATATGAATTCTGCAGGCTACATTTACAAACGTCTAGCAGCCAAACACGTACATAAACCACTCTTGTCAAATTGCATTTTTGTACCCCCTGAACCGGTCCTATAGTTATGGCCCAAATAATATGGGAAAGGAACAGGCCTTTTATGACATGTGAGTTACAGTTCTGAAGGAGTCAGTTTAAATACTCTGTTGAAAACGTAAAGTAAATCCAACATATTAAACAATTTTTTCTCTGATCAGCTCTGATCAAAGAGGTTGTTTTGTTGTTCAAACTACAGTCTGAACAGCATACACATACATACAAAATTGTGGAAGTTTTTTTGATCTCAGGCCATCACAATGAGACAACCCGATTAAACTTGAACTGGGTACGGTAAAGGAACGCATACCCGTATGAGTGAGTCTGTGTCTCTCCAGGTGGTAACGCTGGAAAAACCTCATGTCACACATGGAACAAGCATACGGCTTCACCCCTACACACACAGAGCATAAAATTATTCGCTCTTCAGTCTATTAAATAAGTAAAAGTGGTTTAAAAATACCATTAAATGTATTTATGTGGAAAACAAAAAGAACAGATGCAGTGTTTCCACAAAGCAACTGCTTACTGGGATATCCAAAATTGTCTCGAGCTTGTCAATATTAATTTAAAATTGATGGGGGTTTTTTCCCCCAACTGAATACTGGGGTAGTAATCACTGACTTGGTAAAATTATTAGGTAGGAAGTTGACTTACCCGCTCTGTGCATACTTCTTAAAAAAAAATGAAAATTAACTTTGTGTGAAATGGCGCAATGCAAATATTGACACTATGGATAAATGTTTTTCAACAGTCCTCAATTTTCATTTTATAAAAACAATTAAGAACAGTCCTTTGATGTCCATGCAGTTATTTTTACTGACAGAGTGATAAATACATAGAAAATTTTGAAAAATTCAATAAATCTAGCATATTTTTGTGGCCTGTGCTTTGAGGATTTCATATACACACTAGGGTCCACAAGCTTAGTCCTTTTTCAAGTCCACTAGCAAAAAGTCATGCTTACATAAGTGTTTGTCATCATTTAGCAATCTACATAACTTTTATTTCAAGAATTTTATTTAGCACTGAAACAAATTAGTGTTTTTAGATCTAAGAAATGCACACAGAAAAGTCACCAAAGGCTGAAAATTCAAACAGTACAAGTATCCATTGTAACACACAGCAAAAATTTGCTCTTTCATCAGAGAATACCATATGTCGACAAAATTAAAATGGCTGCCGAAGTGTCACTACTGAGTTTCAGCTGTAGCAACAGTTAACAATGTTTGAAGAAACCAGCAGTGGTTCTCTTTAATTTAACAAAGTTTCCCAGCATAAATCTGTTTCTAAACTCAAAATTCTGCAGGAACAGAATGCTGAAAAGATTTTCTCAAGTCAAACTGTCCAAAACAAGACAAGGCAGTCCTTAAGAATAAAGTGGACAGTATACTTAAACAGCAGTGCACATCAGATGGTCAAATGGTGGTCACTGAGGTCTGTTGTACTTGAAGCCACAACCAGCTGTGATATAGCATTGCCCAGTGGTGCATTGTGAAGTGTTGTACTGCACAGGGTGTCTAAAACACATGCAGAATCTGCTGGATGGCAGAACATGAAAATGACCACACAGAGAAAACCTGTGTATTGAGCGGACATCTTTGCAGGACCCACAGATTTTGATTTAACAACACAAATCCAAATAAACAATGAACCTTCTACTCAAAACATTTTCACAAGAAAATAATGTGTCAAACAATAGCATAATATCACAGATGAAGAAAAGGAGATGGTTACTTTTATAACCAAATCAAAGTATTTGCAATAATATAGTTTATGACAGTCACAAGAGAAGCTAACTTCTCTACCCACACCCACTGAAGCTCAGCCCCACTTAACATTCTGGAGAAAAAAGAGAAGCGTGCCTCCAACATCTCTAGTGATAAAATAATGTGGACTCTCAGATCAAGCAAACATTTCTACTGGTGATGTCAGTCAAAATGTAAGCTGTGATTATGGCAAATCATGGACTTTTAAGAAGAAAAACTTTTATCAAACGTTGAAATAAGAGTTTTTAATAGTGGACTTGGGACTATTGGACCACACTCTGTTGACTCGCCTTCTATGAATTTTTCCTGGTGTTGGGGGAATAATGTTTATAAGGCAAACACTGTCCTTTATATTTAGGGCTGAACAGATTTTGGGAGGTGGCTTTGTTGGAAATTACTGTCCAGAGACAAAATGAACCCTGAGCATCTGTCCATTGACTTAAGTGACAGACTACAGAGGTAGTCTTATTTATGTAATATGGGTACGGTTAAAAGACGCATACCCGTATGAATGAGGCTGTGTCTCTCCAGGTGGTAACGCTGAATAAACCTCATGTCACATACGGCACAAGCATACGGCTTCTCCCCTAAACCGAAGAGCACCAGTTTTAGTTAAAGTCCCCACAGATACCACCAATTAGCTGTGAGGCAAAAGCTATTACCAACCAATGCTTTTAAGCAAAAGCTTACAGTTGCTGCACACTCCTAGATTCAGTCCAACTCGAGCTTTCAGGGCCTCTTTCAACAAATCATTCATGTATTTATGCATTATGCTGCTTAGTCTACTGTAAATTGTTACAAGCTTGACCCATACCTGTATGAATGAGAATGTGTCGCTTCAGGTGGTATCCACTTCTAAATGCTCCATAACAGTGATCACAAATAAAGTTTTTCTGCACTTTGGATGATGGACCATTCTCATCTCCACCTGTGCCCTAAAGAGGACGGACAACAGTAAAGGTTCAACATTAAATAAGATATTTTACATTTTACTACAAAACAACTGTCAACTCTGTCACATACACCCACCTGTTAAGAATATGATGAAAATCTAAACTTACTGATATTTCAGTCTAATAAAGGGATATGATGTTAATTGTTGGTATATTATTGAAATTGTATACCGTATTTTCCACACTATAAGGCGCACCTAAGAGCCTTAAATTTTCTCAAAAATTGGCCGTGCGCCTGATAATTCGGTGCACCTTATGTGTGCACTGAGTTCCAAAATCTGTAAAAATGTTGTTGTGCGACTTTGGTAAGCGCTCCGCTTGATTGACTGTCAGACCATTTCCCGCTGACACAGAGACGTAATACGTACACTACGTACGCTGGCAGCGATAAACCAGTCTAAACCGGTCTAAGGACCCCCGAAAATGGCACCAGTGAAGAGACATGCTTATGTGGCACAATTCAAACTACAGGCTATCAGTTACGCGGTTGTAAATGGGAATAGAGCAGCTGCGAAAGAATTCAAAATCAATGAATCTATGGTTCGGAAGTGGATTTGTGGGAGAAGATTGATTAAAAAAATAATGTGAGTGTATTGTTAAATAGTAGAATAAAGTTCAACTAAACTCACTGTTTTGCTTCCGTTACGTTTTAGCATGCGCCTTATAATACGGTGCGCATTATGTATGGGTTAAGTACAGAAATAGACCCCGTAATTGAGACTGCGCATTATAATCCGGTGCGCCTTATGGTGCAGAAAATACGGTAATTTCTAAAACAGAAATTCTCCAAGGTATGAATAGGGGTAATGAAAATTTTTTGAATATATGTAATTAACATCTGAATTGAGAAACACCCCACAATGGCCTAATGCCCTCATGTTACTGCTCCTCCTGTTACGCACACAACTGCAGTTATTGTGCTCCACTTCGCTCTGCTCCCCTCCCCCTCTTTCCTCTCTAGAGATCCTCCCTCCACCCCCTCTACATCTTCACTGAACTCCCCCCCACCCCCAGCCAAACAAAATGTGCACACATGAAAGCTCCAAGTCAGGCACACTTGAATAAAGTATAATGCTTTTACAAAAAAATATGTACAGGCAGCTGAAGACATTTTATGTAATGAGAGAAAATGAACATCCAAAGCATCGCTTATTTAGCAAAGCAGATACTGACCTTCCCTCCCCTTCCTTCTTGTTCTCTCACTTTACAGGGCGTTACAGATTTCCTGTTCTTTTTTTTCTGCTGCATGTCCTCGTTGGCCCTCATCTCCTTCTCATCCAGCAGGCGGGGAGCTTGGAATTCACCTTCTTTCCGTATAAGCTATGGCACAAAAGAAATGGTCATTTATTTCCTCATTTCAGATGTTACCTTTTAAACTAAAAATGCTAAACTGAAATGTAACCAAAATGACAAACTGAGCCACTGCCAACTGAAGAAGCCAGTGCTGAGAAGTGAAAGTTGTAAACATTCATCTCAATTTTAGTAAAACCAACAAATGCTTTAAAGCAATTTGAAGAGGTTATTTAAGATGAGCAATATAATTCACAGACTGTACTGCATAATGCAAGACTTTGTCTGTCTGAAAAAAATCTAATAAGAAAAGCGCTGTTTATGGGGGTATAAGGTCAATGGGCTCCATGGAAGGTCTAAAACTATTTGCCCTTTAGTAGAGCATGGTATGAATTATGTCAAAATGTTTCTCTATTCTTAAATATATAACATAACTCGTACTCCTGTTTATAAGATGGATGGGGATTGTTTTAAAGCAGAATAAATTATGTTGATATGATTCTACAGTGAAATTTTCATAATATTAAAAGCTTCATTTTCGCTGTTTATTTCGCCAATTGGTCCTGACCAGGGGTGGACAGCTCATTCCAGATGGGAGGATCATATGGCTCTGAGGAGCACGGTCAGGTCCCTCTCTCTGCGGTGGTCCATGGCCAAGTGGAGTCATCATCTTTTTGGGTGGAGCAGCCATTGTGCTGGCCTGCATCAAGGCCATACTGGAGAGGACAGCTTCGCAGCCAAGCAGCCCCGCCTGCAAAAAGAGGAAAAAAAAAACAACAAACAGAAAAACAGCACATTACCAGATATATCAAACATTTTAAAACAGTCTGCAATTTGAAATGATCTGTATCCAAGACAATATTGACAGTCACATAGCGCTGGCCAAACTAGTCTTCAACGACATCATCCTGAGTGACACATGATTGCAAGTCAAGTTATTTGTAACCACTTTGGTGTTCTTAAAACAAACCCATTTCATATGGTCGCGGACTGAGCTGCTGGGCAGATGGGACATTGCTGTGGTGTATGTGAGCGCAGGGACAGGGGTGGGGACAAGGTCATCCAGATATCCGTCAGTCAGGATGGTCGAGCTGGTGGGAAGCCACACCCACCTCACTCATCTAGCATTAAAACTGAGGAAGAGGAGAGGAGGATGTGGATGAAACAGAAACATTAAATTACAAACAACATCAAATGCTGTGTTTTTTTCATTACACAACACATTAATTCCAGTAGAATGGTCAATTTTCATGATAAAATTTTAACATAAAATGTCACACACAACATTCATTTGAACAAACTGTAGATTTAGTTTTGTGTTTATAGATATTAGTCAGTTTACAGAAACTAAACAAAAATGAAGTTTACTAGTTGTAGTCAATATTTGATTAAATATACTATATACTGAATTTGTAGCTATGGTTTTTCTCTTTGAGTCAACCACAGTAGGCAGCTGACAGACTATTATTTTCTTCTGAATAACCCCTAGGGGAAAAAACATCTGCCTGTAACCATGTTGTGTTTGGGACTACAACTAAACATCCTACAGTACCAATTTCATTGCTGAGTAACACACTGAAAACATATACTAAATCAAAACAACAATAGCCAAAGGGCTGTCTTCCAGTAAAAATAAAAAGAATTACCTTGTTAGATATGGTAATATCGCCTGGTCTAGCTGCATCACATTGGGCTAAAGAGTAATTTGAGGTCAACCTGGCAAGTCTTTAAAAACAAAATCATTCAATGGTAAATCTGACTACATTTTTTGTTGTTGTTTACACAATAACACGTGTAACCACTTCAGATCTACATAATACTGAACACTCAAGTACTTGAATATGATTAAAGTGACAAAGCATTAACAGGGATGGGCGTATTTCCAGTTTCAGTGATTCTCATTGTCACAGGCTTGTCATTAGTTTTTATCATATTTGAGTGTTGGAGAGGAAAAGTCTAATCTAATTAAAAAACTAATCTAATTGAAAACAATTGTTTTAGTTTGCAAGCTACCACTAATGCAAGTTTTCCCAACTAGTTTGTGCAGCAAACTCCATGCTGACAATCGACATGCAAAGCACACCTGGATGCTATGCATAAAGACTCACATATTGCATATGTCCTTTTGTAAAGCTTTCAAGTTACATAAAAAGATATTTCACACAAGGTTTTGTATTATGTGACGGGAAAAAGCTACATAGAAAATATACCAAGAAAAGAACTTGATATATATATATAACTAATTCCGAGTGTCTCAACATGCAGTATATGTTGAAGCGTAGTTACAAATATGTTATGCATGCTGCTATAGAGAAAAAGATTCATAAGCTCCAGTTCCGTGCTTCACTTTACACCCAATCACACAGACAATAAGTAAAGCATCACTGAAACGTCTGTATTAGATCCTAGGCCAATTGATTTTGAATGCAATGGATAATACAATTTATGTAGGACAGAGGCATATTTAGATACCATTTGTTATCAAAGAGACCTTAGAAAGTATACACCAAGCAGAATATGAGTAAAGGTGGTTCTACGTTTGTAATGCTGTTGGTTGCAATTATATTCAAGAAAGCAGGGCTTACGTACATTAAAACGTATGTTGTGCATTTTGCCGTGGGGCTAACATTAGCAACCAGGAGGCCACTGATTTACTCAGTGAAACGTTTGCTCGATCTTCTGATGGTTTTTCTAGGTTTAATGTTACTGTAGCACAAGTTAACTGCTGCTTGTGTACCATCATAAAGGTTAACGGCAGCAGACCATGAACTAATGCACCAGACGGTGGGAGAGCTAACATTTGTACTGAAACACTACAGTACTTTCACCACTGGCGTCGGGTCGCTAGCTAACGTAGCTATGAAAATAGACGACACCGACCGACGCTAAATTCGAGACTAACGTCAAGTTAAAAGAGCAGTTAGCTTAGCTACATCGTATAATTAGATTCCAATGGCTGTCGTTGAGATAGCTGCCAGCGAGTGAAATCCGGAAACCCTAAAATAATTATGCTTTGAAAATAAATGTCATTTTTAATCACTGACTGAGCTGGCCCTCGCACTACTTCCAAACCTACCGTTAGTTTTGCTGATGTCGGACAAGCTGGCTAAGACAAGCTAGCCAGCAGCTAGCTAGCTAACTGATCGCTGGCGCCCTCGATCACTGTAATGTTAGTAATCGAACACAATTTTTAGCCCACCTTGTGATATAGTAGCTTTTATGGAGTATATATCGTGTAGCCTGGACAAATTAATCTTTTCACCATGATATTATTATAAGACATAGACTAAACTGGTTCAAGACAACACTGAGCGATAAAGACATTCGTGATGGCCGTCGCTGCGAGAGCCTCCCCCTCCCGATGGTTAAGCTAGCATTTGTTAGCAAGATAGCAATGGCTAACATAGACGCTGTAATACTAGGTAAACCCATTTAACGCCTTCTCCGAGCATGAATTTTACTAATGAACTAGCGAGGAACTGAATGCACATGCAAAATTCACAGAGCATCGAAGAAAAATGAAAAAATATATACTACCTTTTCGCTTCTCTTGCCCGACGTTTTCAATAGCGTCTAGTTTACAAACACAGGAAACGCCACAGAATGTAACCCACTCCCCCACACAGCGGCCAAGCCTCCTCAAGCGCAGAGAAAAGGGTCATCTTTTTTTTACCAGCTCTCAGTGAACAGAGAGAGCTGCATGAAAAAAGCGGAAACAAAAATCTGTTGTTAATCCATATTTTATATTTATGTGGAGATTAGAGGCCTACTTGATGCTATATCGATATGTTATTGTGGTGCAGCGGGCATCTGTCAGCTCACAGCAGATTCAGAAGACGACTGAAGAGACGCAGATGAAAAGGAGTGAACACCTAAAACGACAGAAAACGGGACGTGCACACGTAGGCTTACATACACTGGTACTTAGAGGCTCAATCCGCTGGCCTTTAGCCCAGTTTGACAGACGTGTTCATCTACCAGATTAGTAAGATAATAATTGGTTTAAGACGTCGTTTCTGTTGCTGCATCATTTACCCATGAAGGCTAATTAATATTACGAGACAGCTCCTGCAAAGCTGCTATTTACGGGCGATGACGTCACCGTCCGTCGTGTCAGTGGTTAGTTACCCTGTTGTGATTTTTACTCTGCACTTCTCTTGTCTTTATCAAATAAATAAAGCAACAAATACAGTTGCCAAATGCAGTGAAGACGAAGTAGCATAAAGTGAATATAATCAAAAATTCTTTATAACTGCAGACACCTGTTCAGAAATAAACTGAGATTTTGTCCTGATAAATCTTTTATGAAACGTTATGGGCATTTCAACATGGAGACAGTACATTGGTTTAAATATCAAAATTAAGAGCTGGTTGAATTTGTGTGCGTGTGTGTGTGTGTGCGTGTGTGTGTGTGTGTGATTGCTTTAAAACACTTTTAGGAACAAGAAGAAAAATAGAATAATATGGACTTTGTGATTGGAATTTTTCGGTCTATCTATTAATACAATAATCATTATGTCAGCTGTACAGTAGCTATGTAATCTATCAACTATTAAAACTGTCCAGGGTATCATGTCCATTTCAAGCCCTGTGTGAGTGCTTTACCCCCACTCCTAATGTCCATACTCACAGACTCACGGACTTTGAGCTGCCTTCCCGTTAATTTAAGCCGTGCTCAGATAGGACGCGGAGGGCGCTGCGCTCCGCTATCAAACCCATTCATTTCTATGTGTTGCGCGGGCGCAAGAATGTGTCTGCGCTGCGCCGAGCTGAGCGCAGCGCAAGGTTGCGCGTGCCGTCCCTGCGCCTTTTGCTTATGTTAAAAAAAGGTTTAACTTGGGCGCAGCGGTAATCTAGCCACAGGGGTTGCAAGCCAGTGACTTCTGTGCCGGTCCCAAGCCTGTCTAAATAGAGAGGGTTGCGTCAGGAAGGGCATCCGGCGTAAAAACACGCCAAATTTAAACACGCGAATCATCAGTGCGAATTCCATACCGGATCGGTCGAGGCCCGGGTTAACAACGACCGCCACCAGTGCTGTTGACCTAGAGGGTGCTGGCGGAAATTGGACTACTCTTGGTCGAAGAAGGAGAGGAGGTAGAAGGATTCGTAGACAGACAGAGAAGAGGAAAGGCAGGAGAATAGGTCTGAGAATAGGGACTCTTAACGTTGGCACAATGACAGGGAAAGGTAGAGAGCTGGCGGACATGATGGAGAGAAGGAAGGTAGATATACTGTGTGTGCAGGAGAAAAGGTGGAAGGGTAGCAAAGCGCAGTAGCATTGGAGGGAGATACAAACTGTTTTATTATGGTGTGGACAGGAAGAGAAATGGGGTAGGAGTGATCCTGAAGGAGGAGCTCGTGAGGAATGTTTTAGAGGTGAAAAGAGTGTCAGACAGGGTGATCAGTTTGAAGTTGGAAATTGAAGGGGTAATGTTGAATGTAGTCAGTGGTTATGCTCCACAAGTAGGGTG